TTAAAATTCTTGCACTTTACCATTATCCGCTTTGGGATTTTTTTCTCTTTCACTTCTTGTTTCTGGATATTGCTCCTTTTTAATCACAAAGAAAGTTTGAATGAATCTAAAAATTCCCAGCATGGGAACAAGGCCTTGACCTTTTACTTCTCAGATGTGGGTTCAAATCCAACCCAGACTGAAGGGGAGAAATGTTTGTTGTCTGCTGGTTATTGATATAAAAATATGTAGAGTCCCATATTCTAGTGCCATTCACCTTGCAAGCGAGAGAACCCGGGTTAGATTTTCGGGCGGGGTGAAATGTTAGGCAAGTTTCCTTACTCCACACGCTTGTTTTCCTAGCAATTTCCTACCAGTTGTTAATCGATTGTTGGATCACTTTTTAATCTTTCCAACAACATTCAATTCATGACTGTTTGTGGGACACTACTGTGCACAATTGGCTGCCGCATTTTGCCCACAAATATACAATCAATCCACTTTACAATATATTCTGTGAAGCCCTTTGAGACATCTCAACGATGTGATAAGGGACTATATCAAATGTAAGGATTATTATTATTATATAATTAGTTGTATTTATTTATTTGTATTACACTACTTAAAAAGAGAAGTGAGTTTCTCCTCAGGCTCTGACCAAAATGCTCCAGATAAATTGGTTATTTACTTCATGGCTGCTGGTGGAACTTTGCTGCATGCAAAATGGCTGTCATGTTTGTCTTAAAAAAAAGTTACTACACGTCACATTGATTAATGTTAGCATGTTGGATATTTTGATGTTATAAGCACTATAAAAATACAATTATTCTTCAATGGAGTGCTCAAAAGCACAGAGACATGTGTATAAAACTAAAGTATAAACTTATATGGATTCCCAGTTTCTATTCTATTAAATGGTGTTAGCTTGGTTCAGTTGGTAGCATTTTTACCGGTAAGTCCAGAAGGTTGTTGGTTCAAGCTCAAATCAGGATTTTGACCTGACATAGTGTAGGTTGACACTCCAATATAGAGAGTGCTGTCCTTCAGATGAGATGTTAAATCAAGGTCCTGCCTAGATGTACAGGTGGGTGTTAAAGATCTCGTGATACTATTTGAAAAAAAGAAAAGAGTTTTTCCTGATTTTTATTTGGCCAACAATCCCCAAGATAAAACTAGTCATTTTCTTCCTAGCTGTTTGTGCCGTGGGCAAGTTGGCTGTTGTACTTGTCTATAAAAAGCAGTGACTCTATGTTACGGTATATCCTGTGAAGCACTTTGAGACATGATCCTTGCATGAAAAGTACTAACTCAAATGCTAATATTATTATTAAGTGTGCCAGGTCCATTTTGCATGTATAGAGATGTGAAGGTGTCATCTTTCTTAATTGAGCAGGTATTTGCATACTTGCACGAATAGGAAGGCTTGCGTGCACTAATGCTGCAGAGAATGCTCTGTTGAAATGGGATTAGGTTTGTTTGCTCTCACACAGGGAGGGGAGGGAATGCAATTGAAATGGGAGGAATAGATGAAATTTACAACAATGTACCAACATAACATCTTCTGATGTTATGTTGGTATCCCCCACCCCTTCCCTCCCACACTCTGACTCCTACCCACCCTCCCGTACACACCTTCGAACCCGTTTCCCCACCCTCTGTCACCAAACTCATCCTGTCCCTGAAACCCACCACCTGCTCCCTTGACCCCATCCCCACTCCACTCCTTATCTCCCAGCTCCACCTCCTTGCCCCATTTCTCACAGACATCATCAACCTGTCCCTCTCCTCTGGCTCTGTTCCCATTCCCCTAAAAACTGCCACCATCACTCCCACTTTGAAAAAACCCTCCCTTGATGCATCGCAGCTATTAAGCTACCGGCCCATCTCCAACCTCCCCTTCCTGTCCAAGGTCCTCGAAAGAGTCGTCGCCTCCCAACTGCTCTCTTTCCTCTCCACCCATTCATTATTCAAACCCCTTCAGTCTGGTTTCCGTGCTGCCAATAGCACAGAAACCGCCCTGGTCAAGGTCACTAATGACATCCTGACCATCTGTGACCAGGGCTCCCTCTGCCTCCTCGTCCTCCTCGACCTATCAGCCGCTTTCGATACGGTCGACCACGCTATCCTCCTCCACCGCTTGTCCTCCCACCTCAACCTTCAAGGCCCTGTCCTTGAGTGGTTTAGGTCGTACCTCTCCCACCGTCTTCATTTTGTTTCCACAAATGGCTTTTCCTCCAGCCCCCGCACTGTCTCGTGCGGTGTCCCTCAGGGCTCTGTCCTCGGTCCCCTCCTCTTCACCCTCTATATGCTCCCCCTTGGTGACATCATCCGCAGACATGGGGTTAACTTCCACATGTATGCGGATGACACCCAACTCTACCTTTCCTCCTCTACTCTCAACTCCACGACCCCCGATGTCCTGACAGCCTGTCTGTCCGACATCGAGTCCTGGACGAGAGACAACTTTCTTCAGCTCAACGTGCGCAAAACTGAGGCCCTCCTGATTGGCTCACGTCAGCGCCTCCGCACCTCAGGCGCTGACACCATCAGCATCCAAGGCTGCACTCTCCACCTCTCAAAGCCAGTCAGGAACCTCGGCGTTTTGTTCGACCCTGAGCTGTCCTTTCTTCCTCATATCCGCACCACAACTGGCACCGCCTTCCATCACCTCCGGAACATCGCCAGACTACGGCACTACCTCACCCCTCACGCTGCTGAAACCCTGGTCCACGCCTTTATCACCTCAAGGCTGGACTATGGGAACTCTCTCCTCGCCGGCCTTCCCGGCACCTCCTTCCACAAGCTGCAGGTCATTCAGAACTCTGCAGCTCGTGTACTGTCCCGCACCAGGCTTCGGGACCACATCACTCCCACCCTCGCTCGCCTCCACTGGCTCCCCATCCCCCAGAGGATCGAATTCAAGATCCTCATCCTCACCTACAAGGCCATTCACAGCCTTGCTCCCTCCTACCTCTCCGACCTACTATCCCCCTACCTACCTGCCCGTACCCTCCGTTCCTCTGGCTCCAGTCTGCTCCACATCCCCCGCCCCAACCGCCCTACCATCGGTGGCCGGGCCTTCAGCCTCTCAGCCCTGAGGCTCTGGAACTCCATCTCCCAGTGCCTTCGCCGCCTCCTCCCTTTCCTCCTTCAAGGCCGGTCTCAAGACCTTTCTCTTTGACCGTGCCTTCAGCTCCCCTCTCGACTCTCTACCCCCTCCTCGCTGCCTCCCTTCCCTCCCTTCACCCTGACCATTTCCCCCCCGCTCGGGTCCTGACCCAACTGTACAGCGCCTTGGGACATCCTCCCGACGTGAAAGGCGCTCTATAAATTAAAGCTTGTTGTTGTTGTTGATGTTTGTAATATTTAAAATCTGAGTGGGGACTGTTGATAATGAGGTTATAAGGTTCATGTAGGTGCTGGTATTCTGATTGTTTACAGGCTTTCAGTCCCATTCAATATTAATGAGCAAGGATCGATCTTTCTGAGAGCCAGAGATATTATTTCTGCAGTTACGCTCCTCTCCTATTTTATTTGTACTTATTTTATTATATTTTTCTCTTTTTTCTTTATCTTCTATTTTTCTTTCTTTTTCAAATTTTGCTTTCACTCTTGAGGGTTGTTCCTGGTACAGAATAGCTGCCACGTTTGTCCACAGAACAACATTCCACAATAATTTTATACTGTTTGATTTTTTATTTCCAGATCATCAGCCTATTTTTTGAATGTTAATATTTTATGAGCATCATATGCCTTGTGAATGCAGTGTGGAATCCTGTAGTTCAGTAGTAACGCATCACTATTTCAGAGAGCCAGCACAAGCAGTGGAGTTCTGTAGTGTTTTGATTAGAGCACTCGCCTCATAAGTGAGAGACCTGGGATCGATTCCCGGCAGGGCAAAACGTTGGGCAAGTTTCCTTACTCCACACGCCTCTGTTTCCCTAGCAGTAAGTAGGAATCCGGATGTTAGTTGATTGGCAGATTACTTTTCCGGGGGTAATAATTCCTTCAAATCCATGACTGTTTGTGGGACACTGCTGTGCGCAATTGGCTGCTGCGTTTCACCCACAAAATATACAGTCAATTCACTTTACAGTATATTCTGTGAAGCACTTTGAGACGCCTAGAAGACCCGATAAGGCACTATATCAAATGCAAGTATTATTATATTATTATTATGTTATTATTATAAGTTGTGGACTGGTGGGCTTGCTCCTTTTTAGCTCTGTATTATGGCCTATGTTACAACAATGGTAATAACCAACTGGAAGAAGTTATCAGGAAGGGTGGTTGAGACCAGGACTCACTTGAGAAATGGCTTCATGCTGTGATGGAAGAATAGTAGGGTGGGCATTCTGGAAGAGTAAGATCAAACAAATCTAAATCCGAATTCATCTAAATGTCTCCATTGATCTTGTAGACTCTTAAGATGACTGGGTTGGTTTAAATCGGTTTAGAAATAAGAAACTTGCCATTGGTGTGCTTGGTAGTGATATATTGAAGACTGGAATTATGGAAATAAGGAAAGATGGAATAATTGGCTCAGAAAGTTCATGACGAGCACAGTGCCGGGGGTGAGTGAGCTACTGGCTGGCCTTACTTTTACAGGCTTTGGCCATGAATAAAAGATCTGTGGGTCAGTAGCTGTGATGCTCTGCTTCCCCAGAGACCCAGAGTCACTATACAACTTCCACTGTCTGCGTTGGCAGGAGGTGGCAACAAACGGTTCCTGTTGACAAGTGGTCAAAATACACCCCCACAATGTTTATGTGTTCATAGAATCATAGAATTGAACAGCACAAAAAGAGACCATTCGGCCCATCGAGTTTGTGCCGGCTCTTTGAATAGAGCAATTAATGTCAATCCCACTCCCCAGCCTTTTCGCCATAACCCTGCAAACCTGTGCTCCTCAAATACCCATCCACCACGTTTTTAAAAGTAGTTATCATTGAGATGCAATATACCTTTAATTTTTTTTCAGGATCTATTTATAACTTGTTTGTATTTTATGTTTGTTTCAGATTACATGTTTGGTCCCTGCTGATCTGCTCCAGCTGTACCAGAAACTGAAATGTGACCGAGGTGTGCAACTTGTTCATAATAATTCTCTCCATTAGGGGATGCTTTTGCTTCCAAGCCACTAACAAAGCACAAAGTACATAGTGCAAAGCAGCATCAGCCTCACTTAATTGGCGACTGTAACAGGCGGGAGGGAGTCAGGCGCAATATTGATTGTTACGATATGGGAGATTGCTAAAATATTTTGACATGCTTGAAAGCTAAAGATTGGGGAAATGGGTGGGGGATGGGAATAATACTCGCTAAATGTACTGACATATGCAGACAAGTGGCTGTTATTCACTGCTGATCATTACATTGATAGACCAAGAGAGAGAGTTGTGCTCACCTGCCAAGCTCAGTACATTTAAGATTGAGAATTGGCTTGGAAGCTTGGTTTTGCATATCCTCCCCTATCGGTGATTCTTTCTGCTTAGTCCTCATTGTTATTCACAAACATTCTGCGACTGCTTTGCTGGCTATTCATGTACAATTCAGAGAATACTTGAGAGACAAGCAGTTAACCCAAATTCTAATAATAAATAATAAATTAGAAAGCATATTCTAACTCAGTTCGGTAGAATAGGGATGAATAAGGCCATTGTTCTTTCTTCAGTCATAGTTCCATTGTGTGGTGCGATCATGTCGAGATCACACCATTACCAGAAATCCCCATTCAGTTCCCACTTTGTTCATGCAGACTTGCAAGCCAAAGCTCCGATGGGTAGTGTGGTCCTAGCTGGACAAGCAGCAGGAAAGCATGCCAGACAGCAATATCAATGGCAAGCTATGCGGTTTTAGCTGGTTAGACTCCAGCAGGACCCGAACAGACACTCTGGGGTCCTCAAGCCTTGGCTATTGCCAACTTGCGCCTATTACTTTCCAGAATTAGGTAAGCAGGATGCGTCCCTCCAGAGAGAGAGGGTGCAGCTGTGATTTCCTAGGATTTCCATGTGTAGGTGTGATGCATGGAAATCTCACTTTGGTTTGGATACTCTTAAGCATGGTGTTGAGAAAAGACAATTCGGCCTTACTGATGCCACAGTCTATGCAAATTAATGTGGACTATCTACAATAGAATAGATTTTACATAAACTGTGGCAAGATCTGCATAAATAGTCTCTGATCCCCTAAGATATTTGAGCTAAATATCAGAATATAGAGGAAGCAGCTCAATCTTTATACACATGGTTTATGGATACATCTGGGCAACCAATTTTCAATTGCCATCAGGTAGCCTCAAAGAGCCATTTGAACGTGACCGAGTACAGGGCTACTTTGGGCGGAGGGGCTAATGATGCCACAGTAACTGTGTTACATATGACCAGAGACTCTACATGAACAATCATTATAGAAAGAAATATAGAATAACTACCCTTTTGTAGAATACAAAAATAACCGTCCCACTTTCAAGAAATTATCCGAAGTGCTGAGATGTATCTCACCTCAATCTATGGGAAATGGGAATGATTTCACTTGGGAGTTTTCATAAGGCCAGGTGTTCGTGGAATAATTTCTGGCTCTGTAAGCAACCACACAGAGCTCTCATGCATCTTCCACTGCCACCAGAGTATCCTTTGACCAGGTGGATACACCCAATGCGAGACTGATAATGTGTTACTCAGAAAAGTGGCTCGCCACGGGAAAAGACGCCTTGTAATCTCAACTGCATTTTCTGCACGTCATGCAAACTTGCAAGATCTTGGCTCCAACCAAGATTGTCTAAGTTTTCACAAAATCACAAGATTGGTTTGGATAAAGAAGGCCCTTTGGCTCATTTTATCATATTTTTCCAGAATACCCGCAAACCATCTTTCTATTATCGCATCAAGCTGTTTATTATATGAATTCAGTGTCCTACCCTGAATCACCTTCCTGGTATCTGTCCTGAAATTGCCCCTTGTAACATTAAACCTGTGTTCTCTTGTTCTACTGACAAAACATATATTGTGCTGAATTTACTTTCTGAAATTCAATTAAGATCTTATTTGCTGTTTTGCACATTGCTGTGATGTCCATGACTTTTCCCTCAGAAAATGCCACGCTCAGTACAGTTTACATTACCAGGCACTTCTTTCTGTTGGCAAACATCACTAAATGGTGCTTGCTGAAATTGCAAGCATATTCTAACAGGTTTTTTTTTACATTGCAATAAGGGAACAAGGGACTGGGCATGAACAGTCATTCAAAAGGTTGCCTGTCCTATTTTATTTGGGACAGTATTAGAAAAGTTAAAGATGAGTTTACAAAGTTTTCTCTATGTTTAGATCCTTCTGTCATTTCCGTTACCCTGTCCCAATTCTGGTGGGCACTGTAACTAACCTGAATGCTGAAGTATTGGCTATTTAATTGATAAATATTGAGAATAACGATGGGATTTAATACTGCAAGCAAGATATATAAAACAAAATGTAATTCTAACTTCAAGCTCATCTTAGAAAAATAACAATAGGTGTAAGGAAATTCTTCCCATCACTAGCTGCAATAATCTTGACATTGGAGTCTAATTTGCAATATTTGTACACTGGATTTTGCGACTTCTGGTTTACAAAAAATCAGAAGTTTTTTTTTTAATTTATGCAATTACACAAACTTTTTTTGTCAACCGGATGTCTGACACATCACCATGCTTAAGAGTATCCAAACCAGACTCCATGCATCTCACTTACACGTGGAAATTTCCACAAAATTGACTTGCCAAAGCCACTTGCCATTGAAAGCACTACGTTGTAAGCTTCCTCCTGCTTGGCTGCCTTGAACCACTGTACCAGTTAGGGCTTTGGATTGCAGGGTTAACAGGAGCTGAGTGGGAAGAATTCCTGCCCCCAGTCTGTCTCTCCAAGTCCTGACATTGAGCAAAGATGGTTGTTATCTCATCAGTAGCCCTTTGCCAAGCATGTCACCTTAGAACCATATAAATTTACAGTACAGAAGAGGCATTTGGCTCATCATCATGTCTGCTGTTTCTTTTAAGAGCAATTATTTTAATCCCATGGCACGAAAAGAGCTTTGGAGCCAATTTAGCTCCAAGGAGAACCCGTTTAAGTTGGGCATTTAACATATGACAAGTGTAGGTTTGAGCCCTCAGCAGAGAACTGGTGAATCCTAATGACTGGGAAAGCTTGAATAAAACAGCCAATGATCAGTCTTGGAATTCAGCATTTTTCCGAATCTCACGAATCGAACAGCTTCCACTGCTTACAAAGCTCGCGAGTGAACGCAACAATAGCTGTGGGGTAAAACTCCACCTGGGTTTAGATTTACTGTATTAATGCAGCCTTTCAGCGTATTCAGAATTTAGCAAATTATTGAATTTTTAACTTTGCAGCCCCTTTTCTGTACTTCAAAAAAACTTACAGAAAACTGGCTTCAATATTAAACACTTCTTAAGAATCTTGACAAATTCTTGATGTTCTGAAACGTTACAATAATTGGAATTTCTACCACTTGATGTATAAATATTGCAAGGTCGACCCCATTGTGCAGCCTTCACGCACATCCTCATCCTGGCTGCAGCTGGTGCCAATGTCATGAGGCAGAGCAATAAAAGAATTTTGCAATCAGTTCACTGGGAAAGGGGCTTAGAATTAAATTGATGGCAATGCTAAAGGCCTCTTGCCAATGTTGATGCATGTCTCAGTGGGTCAACTAAAATCATAATTCAACATATTTGGAGATAGCAAGAGCCTGAAATCCTTCATTGTCTTACCCTTAAGTGCCTTAAGTGGATCGCTTTTCTGGGGGTAATAATCTCTTCCAAAATAACAATAATAATAATAACAGCAATTTGGTTACTCAATCCACGTCTGCTTGTGGGACACTGCTGTCACAATTGGCTGCCGCGTTTTGCCCTCAAAATATACAGTCAATTCGCTTTACAGTATATTCTGTGAAGAGCTTTGAGATGTCTCGAAGACATGATGAGGCGCTACATCAAATGCAAGGATCATTATTATTTTCAATTACCAATGTAATTCAGCTTTAATTTGCAAATAGGTTTTAAATAATTTAAATAACTTTAAAGTGATTTTTAAATAAGAATTTGCTATATCAAATGCAACGATTATTATTGCTTTAAGAAGCAATGTAGGAAACCCGCTTCCATATTAAGACTTGAGTTTAAAAAAATGTCTAAAACTCCACACAACAGTATGAAGGCTAAGACCATGAGAAATTTCAGGGTTTAGGAGTGGAAATAGGAGTGCTACAAGTTGTAAAATTTGATCTTGTTTTGTTAAAGGCTATTGTTGAAACTAGTTAGTATTTAATAATAAATTAGCAGTGATAAGAATTTACTTGACATGTCCTATGCTTTGTTTGTAGAAGTTCATCTTGATCCCTTCAGAACGTGGTGTCCTGAATCTCAGTGCCAGGCTGTGTGCCAGGTTGAAGCATCTGATTCCGACCGGCCTGTGCAAGTGAATTGCCCCTCCTGCCACACACAGTTTTGTTCCGTCTGCAAGGCCGGCTGGCATCCGGGGCAAACGTGCCAGGAGAGCCTGCCAATCACGGCCTCCAACGTAGAGGACAGTGGGTAAGAGATTCACAAAGATCTAAACGTGACCTTGCATTGTGAAATATGAGAAATATAGCAGCTTTAGAGGGAATTTTTAATCTCCTTCCTCGGTCAGTGGGGGAGGGGTGGGGCTAGGAGAAGAAATAAGCGTGGCTGTGTATCTGCTATTAATAATTAATGCTTGCATTTATTAAAATGTCCGGCAGTCACCAGAAAGAGGTTATCAAAATGACTAATTTCTTTGCTGATACAACCTCTCCTCCCCCTGCGCACACACACACACTCACACACACACAAATGTGGTGTTAACATGTCAAAGATGAGGAGTGATTTGATCCTCATTTGAGCCTCACAGCCGAAAGACCTGGGTTTGATTCCCAGCAGCGCGAAATGTTGGGCAGATTACCTTACTCCACACGCCTGTAAGTAGGAACCCGGTTGTTAGTCGATTGGCGGGGCTTTTCCGCGGGTAATAATTCCTTTTTTAAAAAAAATAATAAATTGGTCACTTTAATCCACAACTGTTTGTGGGACACTCCTATGTGGAATTGGATGCCGTGTTTCGCCCACAAAATATACAGTCAATTCATTTTATGGTATATTCTGTGAAGCGCTTTGAGACATCTTTCACATTTCAGTATTGTTTTGAGATGCCATCTGGACAACAAAGGCGCTAAGTAAATGTAAATTGTGTTGTATTTCTTAGTGAGGAATCGGAGTCCCACAAGTGGGAATTCCTTTTGGTAAATGGAATGTGATTCTTGGGATCTTGTTCTGAGATCCCAAGGGTCACATTCCATTTACCAAAAGGAATTCCAGGTCAGACTTCTCGAAGTTAGAAATGGTAGTTCTAACTTCATTTCTTATTAAGGAATTCAAAGCTGCCACAATCGAGCGGGAACTCAAAGGAATAAGAAGAGATATCCAGATAATTCCTATTCAGTACTTAGGAATTTTTACATTAAAACTGCATGCTAAGACCACATGGTAGAATTCACATGGTACAAATAAGGTTATTTTGAGAAACTATAAAGTGCTACTACTGTCATGAGTAAGGTTCCTTGCATATAAGTAGTGCTTGAATCAGTATAAATGTATGCTTCCACTTCACATTGAGAAGTAGCTTAATAGAGGCAGATTTCTTTAATACAGATATGGAAATGACTTCATGCTTTTTTTTGTACAAAAAGGGATGTTGGAAAGGGAGTGGTAATCCAGTACTTTCTTGACATTTGATTATTTCACTTTTGTAAAAAAACTTTGAAAGCTTGAACCAGAGCCAAGAAATCATGCCACATTTCCTGTGAGGTTCAGAGCAAGCCGAATGTTGCTGCTGGCTAACAAGCTAACATTAACTCATATGTTGCCATATAATTCTACAAAGTGCATTCTGAAGTTCAAAGATTTAGCAAGCATATAGGGAACAGATCGATCTTTGAGAGAGCCAGCGCAAGCAGTGGGGTTCTGTAGCGTTTTGGTTAGAGCATTCGCCTCACAAATTATTATTATTTTTTTTGAAGGGATTATTAACCTCATGTAGAGATTAAGAAATCATCTCATGTGCATCATAATAGATGCCATAATATGTAACGTCCCAAATAACACATTTATAGGTTTGATTTGCTTTCACTCTGTTTGTGAGCTCTATCACAGTCACGCAGTTTGAACTCATTTTCCTGTTCTGGTTTGTTCCTCAGTATTCCGATCAGCAGTGACACCGATGCTCCCATCAAACAGTGCCCGGTGTGCCATGTCTTCATCGAACGAAACGAAGGCTGCGCTCAAATGATGTGTAAGAACTGCAAGCACACCTTCTGCTGGTATTGCCTTCAAAATTTGGATGTAAGTGTCTTCTTCAGAAAGATGATGAATTCCAAGGCCATTGGAACTCAGTAGTCCACTCATATTGTGATAGAGAATCATTGGTCTTGTTTGTGCCAAGTAACCATATTCCATACAGGAACCTGGAATGTGAGTCTATCTGACTGTGGAGAGTAAATGTGCCTAAGTCTGATCCTTTTGCCCACAAGATATACAGTCAGTTCACTTTAGAGTATATTCTTTGACGCGCTTTGAGACGTCTCGAAGACATGATAAGGCTCTATATCAAATGCAAGGATTATTATTATTATCCTGTCCGCATCCAGTGCCCGCACTTCACAAGATCACAGGATTGATCTGATCTCATCCTACCATCAACCCATCAAAGCATCAAGCTGCTTTTTAAATGAATCCAGTGGTGTGGCCTCAACCACCCCACCTGACAACTTGGTTGTTGTTAATTACTCTCTGAATAAAGAGGAACTCCTGAAATTGCCCTTTACAATTAGTTGGGACGCTTTCACCACTCGGTACTGAATAGTGATCAGGGGAGAGAAGCCTGGTTGATATATTTTGCAATACCTAGCACAGGAGTCATGTTGTACAGTGTGTAAATCTATGTAAATTCTAACACCAAGGTTGTTTTTGTTTTCTCCAGAATGACATTTTCCTGAGACATTATGACAAAGGACCCTGCCGAAATAAGTTAGGTCACTCCAGGGCATCTGTCATTTGGAATCGAACCCAGGTATGTCAGAGACGATATCTGAATTATAGAAGAGGTTGTAACAGAGCTTCACACAGCTGATATAATGGGTTAGGTTTGACAACTAGCGATTTTAATGAGTAACTATCGTTAAGATCATAATTATGTCAGGAATGGTGAAAGGGCCAATCTGCCTATTGAAGTTGATTCCTCCATGAATCACTGTTCTCATTCTTGCATCTATTTATACTATGAATAGTCCCAGTGGTTTTGCTTCTCTGTGGCTTTTCTTGGCAGTCTTTTTGCATGGGTGTTCTGAATAACATTTATGTAACACAGAGTTGTAGGTGTCATCAGAATTATGCACAGCAATGGAAAAGATAGACGAGTGAGTACTGAAAGGAAATTAATTCCTTGCTGGGGTTTAGTTGCATTGAAATGTGTAAATAATAACTTGTTATTAATTATGCTCTATGTGTTATAATTAAAGTCAAGCTCTCAACTGTAACTGATCATTTATGTTGTATTTATTGAAGAATATTTATAAATGATATTTATTATTTGGGGAATCGTAATAGCGGGGAATATATTGTGATTCTACAATGATAAAACAAATTGTATATCTAAATTTGACATCAGAGTAACAAAGTATTGATTGTTCACTTCATGGCTGTCTGTGGGACACTGTGCAAATTAACCGCCTTACTTTCTTTCAAAATACACAGTCACTAAACACTACAATAATGCAATAGGTGCTATATCAAATACAAAGATTATTATAAAGAAATACTGCCCACTTCATTTCCTGCTATTAGTCACCTCAGCCACCTCAGCTTCAATTTTCAAGCCCAATATCTTAATACCTCTTTCGACATCTCTGCATGCCAATGCTTTTTCTGTGATTGGGTTTGGTGAGTGTTATGCATTGTATTTGGATGTACTTGTTCACAGTGTCATACTTAGCTCAATTTAGCCTGTACATTCAATATTTTTTGCAACAAATTTTCACCGTATCCAACTGTTCATCAATGGTGACCTTTATGAAGGTGGAATGGGCTTTCCCTTTAAGATTCTTGCTTTCTGCTTGCACAGTGCAGCTTTCGACTGCAGGCTAGCAAGATACCAGCTCCTCTGAGTGTTTGGTTCATAAAAATATGGTATTTAAATGGCATTTAAAAGTGGAGAATCATGAGCCGGGAGTCCTGGTTTCATGATGTCGCTATTGAAGCAAACAACAACAACAACAAATTACACTTGTATAGCGCCTTTCACGCTGATATATTCAGTCAGATGAATATGGAATATGTTCGCCCCCAAAATAAATGCAGTCACTAATAATAATCATTGCATCTGATATAGTGCCTTATCACATCGTTGAGACATCTCAAAACACATTGCAGAATATATTGTAAAGGTAATCGACTATATTTAGTGGATGAAAATACTCTACAGTAAATCCTGTGAAGTGTTTTGAGACATCTCAAAGACATGATAAGGTGTTATATCAAATGCAAGGTTATTATTAATTCGTTGCTGAAATGACTCCTAAAGCCAGATGGAGAACTGCTGACAAGGAGTAGATTAAACATCTATTCCAGTCATTTTGCAGCTTAATCCAGGGTCTGAGTCCCCCATTATGACTGACTTGAGATGCTGGAGGGCGCAGACACTTCCTTACAGCATCACAGACAATGCATATCGACGGTTACAAATTTCTCTTGTGGCTAGAGGTATATATGGAACAGGAAAAACACTCTCTACATCCCTTCCCAAGATCTTTAAAAGTAAATCAGAAAAGCCTGCAATCTGGTCAGCTAACGTTGAGAGGTTTTGCTTCGTGTTGAGAGGGGCAGAGCTTTTGGCTGGAGATTCCGAGTGAATTTGTTACTTTCAAGATTAAAGTTAAGAAGCTTGTCTCCTTTTCTTTCTCCTTGCAGGTTGTTGGGATTCTGGTTGGTTTAGGCTTGATTGTCCTGGTCACGTCTCCACTGCTTCTACTGGCCTCCCCCTGCATCATCTGCTGCGCATGTAAGTCCTGCAGAGTTAAGCGGAAACACCACCGTCCCCCGTCTCCTTAAACCGAGGGAAAACGGGATCCTGTGATCTTCCCGTGCTAAGCCTCTCATCAGTCCACCTTGCCATTCACTCAGAAGGAGAACCTGCTGAATTCAATGCTGCAGAAACCATGTGTGATAAGGGTTATGGGGGTGGGGAGGGTTTGGCGAAGACTTTAGAGGTATGAGTGCAGCAGCTGACTGGGAGCAAGTTACACAAAGGTGGAATTTTATGCAAGGAAGGACGGTGTTCTTCAGCTGTCAATGATAATGCAAGATATAGCACGTAGCACTTAATAATCTGAGTGTGGACTGCTTCTGGCCCTTTCTCCGCCTTCCTGCTTCAGTGCTGTGGTACTTCACCATTGCCATGGTAACAATGGGGGCACAGCACAGCGGGGAGCAGGACAAGTGTCACTTGGGGAGGAAAAATCACCAGTTCAGTTTCATTTGGGACCCGTTTTTTTTCAATACTGAAAACGAACTGTGAAAAAATGGCTTCTAAATTCAGAATGAGTTTAACAATTTTCCAGAAATTCTGCGTTGGGTTTAAGATGTCTGTTCCTTATGATGCTTACCAAGATGCAGTTATGTGTTTTGCCTACAAAATATACAGTCAATCCACTTTACAGTATATCCTGTGAAGCGCTTTGAGACATCACAACGACATGTTAAGGCGCCATATCAAATGCAAGGATTATTACTATAGGTATTAATCACCCCAAGTCCTTTTTTCTTGTGAGCCTCGAAAGTGAGTGTTGGCAGGTTAAACAACAACAACAAGATTACATTTGTATAGTGCCTTTCACGTCGGGAGGACGTCCCAAGGCGCTGGACAGTGTACAGCATTTCAGACCCGAGCTGGGGTCAGAGGGGAGGGGAGGGGAAGGGGGGTGACCAATGGCATGGTTGAAGAGGAGGGTCTTGAGGCAGGATTTGAAGGAGGCTAAGGAGGGGGCGAGGCGTAGTGATTGGGGGATGGAATTCCAGAGGTTGGGGCAGAGTGGCTGAAGGCTCTCGCGCCAATGGTGGGGCGGGTGGGTCGGGGGACGTGGAGCAGGCCAGAGCCGGCTGAGCGGAGGGAACGGGCGGGTTGGTTGGGGGTTAGGAGGTCGCAGAGGTAGGGTGGGGCGAGACCATGGAGGGCTTTGTATGTGAGGACCAGGATCTTGAACTGGATCCTCTGAAGGATAGGGAGCCAACAAATATGGAGAATGAAGGCTTTTGGATGTGTATATGTGTGTGCTTGTGGTTTCCATTCCCCAAACCAGGATCTCTGAGGTTAATTATAGCACTGCTGATGCTGCTGTTACTGAGCTCAGTGAACTCAGCACAGAGTGGGATTCAGACTTGCAGCCTCGCAGAGCAGCGGAAGTGCCAGTGTTAGAGGAATGAGTTATGAGCAATAATTAGACAGGCTAGGTTACTCAACTAGGGAGAAGGGAGAGTGGGAAGCAGACCTCACAGCCAAGACGGATTCTTGTCTCATTTGATGCCCACCCACATCTTCAGCAGGAGATTTTGAAAGTGCTGTAAGGAGTAATCTCAGAGGAATACAAGGTTTTCAATGGGTTTTGAAAAAGTAAACCCTGAACAATGCATCGAAACAGCAGAACGAGAGGACACAATTTAGAGTTGCAATGGGCAATTTCAGGACAGATTCCAGGAAGTATTTCTTTACCCAGGGGGTGATTACCGACTGGAACAGGTTACCTGGAAGGGGGTTGAACACTCATTTAAGAAAAACAGCATGAGGTGGTGATGAGAGGAAGATGAGGTGAGTGTTCTGGAAGGATGAGATCAGATGAGCTGAATAGCCTTCCCCATATGTACCAATATTGTGATATTGTGCGCAAACTCGGGGGGAACTTAAAGCTCAGGTACAGAGAAGGGTCAAGAAAGGGATGTGGATTGTTTTACACGCATAACATTTACAATTGCATGGTAATTCAGAGGAATGGACTTTCCCTTTAAGCTCATTACTTTATTCTGAACTGACCACGAAAGATTACAAAATCATTTACAGCTGTTGAACAATGTCCAGCACCTTTGTGTCTACTTTCCCCAACCACTGTCTTCAGCCCATCGTCTCTTCAAATATTTACAGGAAATTTGCATATTCTCTGCTCACAATTACTGTTGTACAGAGGGGAAGGACCAAGCTGGGAATTAGTTTTATTTATTTTGGGCTGTATTGTGGTGTTAAATCTTTACATATCCGCTCTCTTTCATGATACATTTACAAAAGATTGTTATGGACTGAATGTTACTCGTCTACCTAGGAATGCCTCCAGAAATGCTGCTTCTGTTTTGCATCCCAGTTAGGCACCATCAGTGGCACTATTATTGGTAAAGCTCTGCACCTGTCTCCCTTGACGCTTCCGTCTCACTCCTCTCTATCCAACTTCAAATCCTGCCTTGAAACCTACCTCTTCAACCGCACTATGATCACTACCCCCTCTCCCCCACCCCTGCCATCTGTCCCCACCTTTGTAAAATACTCTTGAGAAGTTATTTGAAATGAAGGGCACTGTATAAATGCAAGTTGTTCTGGTTATAATCACTTGGTGCGGTGCTATAATCTGTAAAGCATGTGATGTGTGATGGCAAACCAGTCTGCAGCAATTTTAACTTGACTCCCAATTTGATGCCGACTCCATTACTGAGGAACCATCAGCAGCTCAACGGGGAGGGATTCCATCCTTTCGTAAGGGATGTGGACTGCCCCTGGGACAACTTAGTGATATGTGTAGCATAACAGCACAGACCTTCCTCCCGTTTTGTGTATGTGAATCTGTCAGTCAGGGCAGGCAGGTTCATTAAAGCACAAAGACATCACAGCTGAGCCCAATGCTGTCCACAGCTGAAGTCTGTGGGGTGACATGTGTGGGGTGGGTGGGGGTGAGGTGGAGGTCTCTGAGGAGCAATAGAGCATACAAAGCTTGCAACCCCTTGCCGATCTGTATGACAATTGGTTAAATCAGAGTTGGCCAACCTGTAACCCAGGGGCTGGAAGTGGCCCATGAGGCCGTCAAGAAGCATCTCCCCCCGCCTCCCCCCACCCATCTCCCACATCCCCCTGAATATTCATACAAGTCTAGGTAAGTCCACGTTCGATCAGTTGTGTGTTTTCAGTTTTTTCTTGATTGAATATTTATTGATTTATGGCATATATCAAGAAATATTCAATCAAGAAAATTTATTTTGTGTGCCGACCATAAAGGTTAGCCACACGTGGCTTAAATGAACACTGAAGACCATGAGATTAAAACTCATAAAGTATTTTCTCAGGATCAGAAACTCAGCGTTGTGCTAAAGCCTTCAAGCACATTCCAGGCAACCTTATTCTACCATAGTAATAGTGCTGATACAGCCTAGCACACCTCCACTTCACGTTAGCTCTCTTCGCATGCCAATGAGCCTCAATTTGAGCTGTGAGAATGCCAGCATCTTTCCCTGTACTCTTCCTTGTTACCAGTGAGACAAAGCGAGAAATCGTATTAGGAGCCGGGGTTATCCATAGAGCAAGTGAAGGGACTCGATTTCATAGAATCATAGAATCTTACAGCACAGAAGGAGGCCATTCAGCCCATTGTGCCTGTGCGGCTCTTTGAAAGAGCTATCCAACTAGACCCACTCCCTCACTCTTACCCCATAGCCCTGCAATTTTTTCCTTTTCAAATACCAATCTAATTCTCTTTTGAAAACTAAAATTTAAGATTTATAAATTCCCGAGTGTCATCCTGAAGCAAGAAGCTGCTGAGACACTGCAACCCTTGACCAAAGATTAGGACTCAACTCAGGTTAGGAAGATGAGGAGATGGAATCAGATGCACTGGTTGCAACTTCTGAACGTAACTATCAAAAGTAATTTAATTGGGATACTTGCTGGTAAAGTCTGACAGAAAGGCTGGAGAGTAAAATAGTCATAAATAGAAATCCCAACACTTTAAAGAAGTAATTAGAATGGGGTGGGGGAAAACTGAAGCCATTTGGATTGCTGGAAACTCTAGGCGATATACAATTCCGAGGTATCCTGAGAAGATCGTTTTAATCAGCTTTTACCTGGTAGTTATACATTCCTCACAAAGCTGATCAAAATTGCAAAGAGGAGAACTGTGGAGATTACAGCACAGAGGAAGGCCTTCTGGCCCATCAAGTCTACCCTGGTGTTAGCTTCTCCAGCGTACATAGACGATGTATACTCTAATCCCAATTCCCAATTCTTTTCCCATACCCTATACAATCAGGGAGTAATACCGTATCTCTGCGGTACTGACCTATTTATTACCTGCTGTTGGAAATGACTGTTGTGTCTTGGATCTTTATCCAAGTTTTAAGATTGGATCTTTAATGCTTAATCTAGTTCTTTCCCAATATTTCTGTTAATATCTTCAACCCAGATACACCTTGTGGAATCATGGAAAAAATATTGTAAACTCATGCACTTTATATCTATACATATCCCCACGATAACGGTGCCACATGGGTGTGCTAAACCATGTTCAAAATGTTTGTAAGAAAATATGGTTTTGAAAGCTTGTGTATATTTTTGTTTGATATTAAAAAATAAATCTTGTTACTTAACCTTGCAGTCAAAGATATTATTTTTTAAAAGTATAAATACACCTTGATTCTATCAGTGCAGAGGATTAAAGACATGGCCAGCCATGAGAGTTTATCATTCTAAGTATAATTTAAGGATTATTCCTGGATAAGGCTATACAAGTGGAGTTTCCAAAATGTCCTCTCACAGGTAACTATTAAGAGCTCAAAAATATTCACTTCAAGGTGGGTTGTGGGACATTGATATGCACAAATAGGCTGGTGTGTTTGCCCACAAAAACATACAGTCACTCCACTTTACAGTAAAATACTTTGAGCCAACCTTGAAAGGTACTATACCAAATGTAAGTATTATTAATAATAATATGTGTTTCTGCTCCTAGAAAAATGCTGGGCATTGATGTTTAGAAGTTGTTCTTTTTTTTTGTTTCTGCAGCCCGTTTCTCGTCTCCATTCAGTAAACAAGATCCTTGATTGAACAGTTGTAGAGAACTTGCTACCAGTTCTTGGGCAGCATCTGACCTGTTAGGACAGCAACATACATTTCACATGGAAGAATGTCCCCAAACAGTTCACAACGTGGGAATAATTTAAAGGGAGTTATTTGCAAAATGATTCCCACATTTGGATGGGAATAAATTATGTAGGGAAACGTGTCTGGGCTTGGCGCAGTTCTCACATCTGACAGCTCCTTCAAGCCAGGTTTCGTAACATTGTTTCTGATGCAGGTGTAACAGTGTTATTTGAGGCTTGTTCATTTTTTTGTTCTCCAGCCCATTTCTAGTCTCCATTCAGTGAACAAGATCCAATGCCAATGCCAACTGCGAGGCGATGCTGGACTTCCTCGATCCAAAGTCGAGGGGATCCGCTCAGCTACCTTTGCCCGTCCATCTACTAGCCCCTCCTCATCTCCCTCTCCCACCCCGGCCTCTACCCATCCCTCCCTCCACACCTTCGAACCTGTCTCCTCTCCTCAACCTCCTCCCTGATCCACATCCCCACCCTCCTTGTCAGTCCTCCCATCCCCCACCTTGTCCACCGCATTTTG